GGCATGAGGGCAGGTGTTGAGAGCAGGCACTGCAGCAGTGATGCAAAAGAAGAATCACTTATTTTGTATCAGGATTTACAAGTATAATGAGGCTTTGTCTGTTGATTTTCTCTCTGCCATCCATCAACCCTGTTCTGCTGGAAGCAACGCCCAGGTCCTGATGGGTCTCCAAAACATTAGTTTGCTCTCCTCTCCTGCCTAGTAGTGCTAGTAAACAAAGGAAATGGAGCTACAGATGGAAGTTGTTTGCTGCAGTAGTGTGTCTGGGGGCGGGCAAGGCTATGGCTGGTGTCCCTGCCAGGAAACACACCAGCTGGTGATGTTTTTACGTCTGCTCTCCCCAGCTCCAACTCCGAAGGGGAGCAAGTAGGAGGATTGATGTGCTAAGCCTGCCTTTCTTCTCCCTCCAGCTTCCATTTTGGGTTTATGCACTCTTGGCATAAGGGCTGCCCAGCTGTAGGCCCTGCTTCTCACATATCCTGGCAGTGAAGCTGTGATGATTGCCCCTTTGGGATGAAGGAAGGAGGTGGATGGCTTCCTGCACCTGCTCTGGCTTGCTTTAGGGATTTCCCCCTCTCACCCATTATGCTGAGATGACTTTTTACAAATGGACTATTTCTAGCTTATTGTAGTGATATAGTTGAATTGAATTATCTGCTCAGAAGGAAAGCCTTATGGATACAATTAGTGCTGTATCTTGAGAGGAGACAGCCTGGATCCCATGTTCAAGCCTGGCCACCCATCACCTCTGTCACACTGGGTTCCTCAATGCTAAAGGCATTGCAGTCTTTGGACTACATGATTCTGGATTAATTGACTTTTCAGACTTACTTATTTAACCTTCCTTACTCTTGCAGTGTCTTCATTTGTGAAATGAAGAATGAATGAAAAAGTGGATAAATAGATAAATACATAAATGTATGTATGTATGTATCATCTGTTTGTCTATGTATCTATCTGTATCTATGTTTCTATGTATGTATGTATGTATGTATGTATGTATCTATCTATCTATATATCAATCATCTGTTTATCTCTCTCCCTCTCTCTGTGAGTTTTAATTCTGATGACTACATGCTGTTTTAGCTCTACAAGTTCTGCTTATTTGTGTAGAAATCTCACGGGTTTTCAAAATCCTATTTTACAGTGAGATGTTTATAACTTGGGATTACCAGTACTTCACGTTCTCAGATCATTTATATTTGCTTGTATGTGTGAATATCTGCATGTGTTCATGTGATGGTCTTTAATACCCTATCTTGAGAGTTATAGCACATCGTGAAGGCACTGTAAGGTCAAAATGTCTAGGTTGAATCTTAGCGCTGCTACTCACTAGTGATTTCACCTTGTTCAAGTGGCTTAATGTCTCTGTACTTCAATTTTTGTCTTTTATAAAATGGAGGTAATAATGATAATGCCTCTTAGTGTTGTATGATTCAATGAGCTTGTATAGTAATTACTTAGACAATGACTGGCATATGGTATGTTATATAAAGGTATGCTGTTATTCTGGGGGATGGTCAAGGTACATAGTATCAGAGTTTCTTACTCTCAGGAAGTTGTTTACATAAAGATATATGAATATCTTTATCTTGTGTATGAGATTATAATTTTGCATTCAGAAAGTATTCCATGTAAAGGCTCTCTTATTCCTCAATTTTCTTTCCATCCTCCATCTTTCCTTGTCTTGCTCCAGAGGCCCCTCCTTAAGTGTCCCATCTGATGTTCTACCTCCCTCTGACATAAAAACACAATCCCTTGACCATGCCCCTTCTTTGTCATACAGATATAGATATATGCACACACACCAGCTTGTATGTGCATGTGGTATAAGTAGTAATTCCAACGTCAATAGGAACTGAGGCTTCTACTCATTAGAGAGGAAACATATAAGTAAAATGAACTCCTGATATATTTTCTCCTAGTAAGAAAAAAACAAATTAGTTGTGTCCTCTGAAAAAGCCTAGGCAGAATGATAAACCCAGTAACAAGGAGGACCCGTGACATCTAAATTGTGGTCTCCAAATATCATTTCTTACTAAGGAGCTTGGGCTTCTTTGAGAAATGGATGATTATAAGTGTGAGACAAAATATGCATGAGGTAAGTCTGGAGCCTCTCATTGCCTCAGAAAGCAAGGAAGCTATCAAAGGCCTTTGGGACCATGTAAAATTAACTTAGGAACAATATGAAATTTTTTCTAAAGGCTCAATATGGGAAATTTAATACCAAAAGAGGTAATCTGTGCAATATATTGAAATATATCAAATATGTTAAAAATTCTTGAGCCTGTAATGATATTTTAAACAAACAAAAAGATCACTGATTACTTTTGGATGATTCTAGAGACCCTATTAATTATGATTATTACTAATTTAATTTTTCCATAAGGTATTGGAGTACAGGTGGTATTTGGTTACATGTGTAAGCTCTTTAGTGGTGATTTGTGAGATTTTGCTGCACCTGTCACCCGAGCAGTGTACACTGCACCATATTTGTAGTCTTTTATCCCTTGCCCCCTCCCACTATTTTCTCCAGGTCTCCAAAGTCCACTGTATCATTCTTATGCCTTTGCATCCTCATAGCTTAGCTCCCACATATCAGTGAGAACATGTGATGGTTGGTTTTCCATTCCTGAGTTACTTCACTTAGAATAATAGGCTCCAATGTTTCAACTTTTTCCCATTCAGCATTATTTTGGCTGTGGGGTTGTCATAGATGGCTTTTATTACCTTGAGGTATGTCCCTTGTATGCCAACCTTGCTAATAGTTTTAATCATAAAGGAATGCTGGATTTTGTTGAGTGCTTTTTCTGCATCTATTAAGATGGTCATGTGATTTTTATTTTTAATTTTGTTTGTGTGGTGTATCACATTTATTGACTTGCATATGTTAAACCATCCCTGTATCCCTGGTATAAAACCCACTTGGTCATGGTGGATTATCTTTTTGAGATGTTGTTGGATTCGGTTAGCTAGTATTTGGTTAAAGATTTTAGCATCTATGTTCATCAAGGATATCGGTCTGTAGTTTTCTTTTTTTGGTTTTGCACTTTCTGGTTTAGGCATTAGGGTAATGCTGGCTTCATAGAATGAGTTAAGGAGGGTTTCTTCTTTCTCAAACTTGTGGAATAGTGTCAAAAGGATTGGTACCAATTCTTTTGAATGTCTGGTACAATTCTGCTTTGAATCTGTCTGATCTTGGACTTTTTTCCATTGGTAATTTTTAAATTACCACTTCAGTCTCGCTGCTTCTTATTGGTCTTTTCAGGGCATCTGATTCTTCCTGATTTAAGCTAGAAGGGTTGTATTTTTCCAGAAATGTATCCATCTCTTCTAGGTTTTCTCGTTTATGTGTGTAAAGGTGTTAATAGTAGCTGTGAATAATGTTTTGTATTTTAGTTGTGTCAGTTGTGATATTTCCTGTTTCATTTCTTAGTCAGGTTATTTGGATTGTCTCTCTTCTTTTCTTGATTAATCTTGCTAATGGTTATCAATTTTATATATCTTTTCAAAGAACCAGCTTTTTGTTTCATTTATCTTTTGGTTTTTTGCTTGTTTGTTTCAATTTTATTTAGTTCTGCTTTGATCTTGGTTATTTCCTTTCTTCTGCTGGATTTGGGTTTGGTTTGTTCTTGTTTCTCTAGTTCCTTGAGGTGTAACCTTAGATTGTCTGTGCTCTTTCAGGCTTTTTGATGTAGTTGTTTAGGGCTATAAACTTCCCTCTTACCCTGCTTTTGCTGTATCTCAGAGGTTTTGATAGGTTGTGTCATTACTGGCATTCAGTTTGAAGAATTTTTAAATTTCCGTCTTGATTTAGTTTTTGACCAGTGCTCATTCTGGAGCAAGTTATTTAATTTCCATGTATTTATATGGTTTTGAAGTTTCTTTTGGTGTTGATTTCCAGTTTTATTCCACTGTGATCTAAGAGAGTGCTTGATATAATTTCAATTTTCTTAAATTTACTGAGGCTCATTTTATGGCCTATTATATGGTCTATCTTGGAGAAAGTTGTATGTGGGGTTAAATAGAATGTGTATTCTGCAGTTGTTGGATGAGATGTTTTGTATGTATCTGTTAAGTTCATTTGTTCCAAGGTATAGCTTAAATCCACTGTTTCTCTGTTGACTTTTTGTCTTGATGACCTGCCTGGTGCTGTCAGCGGAGTATTGAAGTCCCCCAGTATTACTGTGTTGCTGTCTATAGGTCTGTTAGTAATTGTTCTATAAATTTGGGAGCTCCAGTGTTAGGTGCATATATGTTTAGAATTATGTTATTTTCCTGTTGGACAAGGCCTTTTACCATTATATAATGTCTCTTTATCTCTTTTAACCACTGTTACTTTAAAGTTTGTTTTATTTGATATAAGAATAACTACCTCTGCTTGCTTTTGGTGTCCATTTGCATGAAATGCCTTTTTCCACCCATTTATATTAAGTTTATGTGAGTCTTTGTGTGTTAGGTGAGTCTCCTGAAGGCAGCAGATGGTTAGTTGGTGAGTTCCTATCCATTCTGCAGTTCTGTATCTTTTAAGTGGAGCATTTCGGTCATTTACATTCAATGTTAACTATTGAAATGTGAGGTGCCATTGCATTCACTGTGGTCTTTGTTGGCTGTGTACTTTGGTTTATTGCTTTTGCTTTTTAGCTGGTATTTTTGTTTTATAGGTCCTGTGTGAGTTATGCTTTAAAGAAGTTCTATTTTGATGTGTTTCCAGGATTTGTTTCAAGATTTAGAGTTCCTCTTAGCAGTTCTTGTAGTGGTGGCTTGGTAATGACAAATTCTCTCAGAATTTGTTTGTCTGAAAGTGACTGCATCTTTCCTTCATATATGATGCTTAGGTTAGCTGGATACAAAATTCTTGGCTGATAATTGTTTTGTTTGAGGAGCCTGAAGATAGGGCCCCAATCCCTTCTAGCTTATAGGTTTCTGTTGAGAAATCTACTGTTAATCTGATAGGTTTTCCTTTATAGGTTAACTGGTGCTTTCGTTTCATAGCTCTTAAGATTCTTTCCTTCATCTTAACTTTGCATGTCATCTGTGTGTAGGGGCCATGCTGATCTTCTCTATATCGTTCCAATTTTAGCATATGTGCTGCTGAAGTGAGAACTTCATCTTAACTTTGAAGAACCTGATGATAATGTGCCTAGGAGAAGATCTTTCTGTGGTGAGTTTCCCAGGTGTTCTTTGTGCTTCTTGTATTTGAATGTCTAGGTCTCTATCCAGGCCAGGGAAGTTTTCCTCAACTATTTCCCCAAATATGTTTTCCAAGCTTTTAGAATTGTCTTTTTCTTCAGGAACACCAATTATTCTTAGGTTTGATCATTTAACATAATCTCAGACTTCTTGGAGGCTTTGTTCATATTTTCTTATTCTTTTTTCTTTGTCTTTGTTGGATTGGGTTAATTCAAAAACCTTGTCTTTGAGTTCTGAATTTCTTTCTTCTACTTGTTCAATTCTATTGCTGATACTTTCCAGAGCATTTCACATTTCTAAAAGTGTGTCCAAAGTTTTCTGAATTTTTAATTTTTTAAAGCCATCTGTTTTATTGAATATTTCTCCCTTTATTTCTTGTATCATTTTTTGGATTTCCTTGCATTGGGCTTCTCCTTTCTCTGGTCCCTCCCTAATTAGCTTAAAAACTAACCTCCTAGATTTTTTTTTCAGATAAATCAAGGATTTCTTCCTAGTTTAGATCCATTGCTGGCGAACTAGTATGATTATTTTCAGGGTGTTGAAGGGCCTTGTTTTTTTATATTACCAGGGTTGGTAATATAACAGGTAATACTACAGGGCTGGTACAGTATTCAGTAAATTACATAAGATATTTAACACTGCATTATAAAATAGGCTTTGTGTTGTTGGATAATTTTGCTCCATGGTAGGCTAATGTAAGTGTTGTAAGCACTTTTAAAGTAGGCTAGGCTCAGCTATGATGTCTGAGGTTAGGTATATTAAATGCATTTTTGACTTATGGTATTTTCAACCTGCAATGAGTTTATGACATAACCCCATTGTAAGTTGGGGAGCATCTGTATAATGATTAGGTGAAAAGATAATGGGGGACATTATGAAAGATAGATGAACTGACAACACTGAATAATCTTACCATCATGTAAATAGAAGCAATCAAACATTAGGTGCTTCCTGATAGAACCTCACTATATCATAAAAGTTGACTGAAATTGAACTTGAATGTGATCAAACCTCTAAATCTACCTAACACCTTCTAGGAAATGCAGGGGATAGAGGAACACACTAAACAACACCCCAGGCATGCACTTGAAAAAATCTAGAATGTGAGAAACTCTGCTGAAATAATTACACTTTACTCCAACAAGTAAGTTGTAAGGGAAACAAAAGAGTTTGAAAAAGCCTTTAGATTAAAAACAAAGACAGAATAACCATGGTAATAAGGAAAAGGAGAAGCTTTGAACAGACTGGATCCTTGATAATACATTAGGGTTAGTGTATTAGTCTGTTCTCACACTGCTAATAAAGACACACCCAAGACTGGATAATTTATAAGGAAAGAGGTTTAATTGACTCACAGTTCCACATGGCTGGGGAGGCCTCACAGTCATTGTTGAAGGTGAATGAGGAGCAAAGTTATGTCTTACATGGTGGCAGACAAAAGTTTGTATAGGGAAACTCCTCTTTATAAAACCATCAGATTTCATGAGATGTATTCACTATCATGAAAACAGCATGGGAAAAACCCACTCCTATGATTCAATTACCTCCCACTGGGTCCCTCCCATAATATGTGGAAATTATAGGAGCTATAATTTAAGATGAGAGTTGGGTGGGGACACAGCCACAACATATCATTCTGCCCCAGCCCCTCCCAAATCTCATGTCCTCATATTTCAATACCAGTCATGCCTTTCCAACAGTCCCCAAAAGTCTTAACTTATTCCAGCATTAACTCAAAAGTCCACAGTCTAAAGTCTCCTCTGAGATAAGGCAAGGCAAGGCAAGTTCCTTCTGCCTATGAGCCTGTAAAATCAAAAGCAAGTTAGTTACTTCCCAGATAAAATGAGGGTAAGGCACTGGATAAATACACCCATTCCAAATGGGAGAAATTGGCCAAAACAAAGGGCTACAGGCCCCATGGAAGTCTGAAATCCAATTGGGCAGTCATAAAATCTTCAAGTTCCAAAGTCATCTCCTTTGACTCCATGTCTTACTTCCAGGTCACATTGATTCAAGAGGTGGGCTCCTACAGCCTCGGCAGCTCTGCCCCTGTGGCTTTGCAGGGTATAGCTTCCTTTCCTGGCTGCTTTCATGGGCTGGCATTGTCTGTGGCTTTTCTAGGTGCACCATGCAAGCTGTTGGTGGATCTACTATTCTGACATCTGGAGGATGGAGGCCCTCTTCTTACAGCTCCACTAGGCACTGTCCCAGTGGGTCTCTGTGTGTGAGCTCCAACCCCACATTTCCCTTCCACACTTCCCTAGAAAGGGCATGAAAAGCTCCATCCTTGCATATGGTCATTTCCATACATCCTCCAAAATCTAGGTGGAGGTTTCCCAACCTCCGTTCTTGACTTCTGTGTAACCACAAGCCTAATACCACGTGTAAGCCACTAAGGCTTGGGGCTTGTACCTTCTGAAGCAATGGACTAAGCTATACGTGGCCCCTTATAGCCATGTCTAGAGCTGAAATAGCTGGGATGCCGGATATCATGTTTGGAGGCGGCATAGAGCAGGAAGGCCCTGGGTCCGGCCCATAAAACCATTTTACTCTCCTAGATCTCCAGGTCTCTGATAGGAGGGGCTGCCATGAAGCTCTCTGACATGCCCTGGTGACATTTTTCCCATTGTCTTGTTGATTAGCATTTGGTTCCTCATTGTTGGTGGAAATTTCTGCAGCCAGCTTGAAATTTCTTCTCAGAAAATGGTTTCTTATTTTTCTTTCCTGTTGCATCATCAGGCTGCAAATTTTCCAAACTTTTGTCCTCTGTTAACTATTGAATGCTTTGCCATTTAGAAATTTCTTCCACCAGATACCCCAAATCATCTCTCTCAAGTTCGAAGTTCCACAGATCTCTATGGCAGGGGCAAAATGCTGCCAGTCTCTTGGCATAGCAAGAGTGACCTTTACCCCAGTTCCCAACAAGTTCCTTATCTCCAACTGAAATCAGCTTAACCTGAATTTTATTGTCAATATCACTATGAATGTTTCGGTCAAAGCCATTCTAAACAAATTTCTAAAAAGTTTCAAACTTTCCCAAATCTTTCTTTCTTCTGAGCCCACCAAGTCTCTAGAAAGTTCTAAACTTTCCCACATTTTTTCTGTCTTCTTTTGACCCTTCCAAACTGTTCCAACCTCTGACTGTTACCCAGTTCCAAAGTTGCTTCCACATTTTCAGGTATCTTTATAGCAGCATCCTACTCACAGTACAAATTTACTGTATTAGTCTGTTCTCAGACTGCTAATAATGGCATACCCAAGGTAAATTTTTACATTTACAAGGCATACCCAAAGAAAGAGGTTTAATTGGTTGGCAGTTCCACATGGCTGAGGATGCCTCACAACCATGGCTGAAGTTGAATGAGGAGCAAAGTCACATCTTACATGGCAGCAGGCAAGAGAATATGTGCAGGGGAACTCCCTTTTCTAAAACCATCAAATCTCATGAACCTTACTTATTAACATGAGAACAGCATGGGAAAAACTCACCCCTATGATTTAATGACCACCTACTGGGTTCCTCCCATGTCGTGAGAATTATGGGAGCTACAATTCAAGATGATATTTGGGTGGGGACACAAAAAAACTATGTCAGGTTTTTTTTTTTTTTGACATAGCAGTGATATTATGGATATGCTTTTAAAAAGAGACCTTATCTTTGAGAGAGAAATAATGAAATAATAAATGAAATAGTATACCTAGAATATGCTTCAAAGTAATCTGGAAAGGAGAAATGGGGGCATACAAATGAAACAAGCATCATCATGAATTAATAATTGTTGAAAGCTGAAAACTGATACATAGGATTTTATTATATCATTTCCTCTAGTCTAGCATACATCTGTAATTTCCCTAATAAAAAATTTAAAACCAAAGAGAAGAGCAGTAGCAGCCATACTGTCTTTCCATGGAATTTCTCCACATCCTGCTTCCAAAGCTTCTCCTTGAACCCTCTTGCTCCTTGGGGCTAATCTTGCCTCCATTTGCTGGTCATGTCTTCCTCCGCCAGGTCCTGCAGGTTGATGACTTAGTTGGACAAGCTGTCTGGTTTTAATTTTTTTGCCCATGAATGCTGTTCCAGTGTATGCATGTTTTTCTCCCCAAGAGTCCAGCTTCCGGCTTTATTCCAGGTCTTGCCCTGCCCTCAAATACACTCAGACAAATATAAACCCCATGCTTTCAGGGCTTGTGTTCTTTGTCCCTGATGCTCACTCAACTGGGTTTGGAAATTGTTCATTTTCTTTCTTTTCCTTCCATGTAGGCAGTAGAATATGACTTGGAGGTAAGACTTATTTGGGAAAGCAAATAATTTTAGGAAAAGTAAAGAACATAAGGTACTAGGGAAGACACATATGGTAGGGTAAATTGAAATTTCCCATCCTAGCCCATTCCCCTCTTTGCCATGGCTTATATCAAAAGTGAAATATAATGATTGGAAAAGAGACATTTTGGCAGGGTGCCATCTTTTCCAGAGGGGTTGGCAAGAGCTATCCTCAGTTAATATGGAGGGCTTTAAAAAGAGTGTCAGCCCAGGGAAAGATGAATAAATTGTTTGCATGATAGGGGACTGTATTAGTCTGTTTTCATGCTGCTGATAAAGACATACCTGAAATGGGGAAGAAAAAGAGGTTTAATTGGGCTTATAGTTCCGCATGACTGGGGAGGTCTCAGAATCATGGCGGGAGGTGAAAGGCACTTCTTACATGGAGGCAGCAAGAGAAAATGAGGAAGAAGCAAAAGGAGAAACCCCTGATAAACCCGTCAGATCTCATGAGACTTAGTCACTATGATGAGAATAGCACAGGAAAGACTTTACCTTCCCCTGGGTCCCTCCCACAACATGTGGGAATTCTGGGAGATAGAATTCAACTTTAGATTTGGATGGGGACACAACCAAACCTTGTTATTTTGTCT